CAGCTTCTTTATTTTCATTATCAAACAACTACACTTGTTAAAAAAGTAAAAATAATATAGAATAAAGTGTTTAATATACTGCTTAAAGTAACACATTTACGATTCTAGTCCGAATTTCGACAATTTAAGCGATATGAGTCAAGAAAATAGTCTTACCTTTCTATTAGGATGGGTTCAGGTGCCAAAAATAACTGATCCATGGATATATATCATTTTGAAATTTGGATGCAAGAAATATTTTTTCGGAGCCATGTTTTTTTACGACTCATAACAGGAAATAGATAATCTAAATGAAAACTGAATTTACATCATCAATCCTGGTTTTTACTTAAAAATTTACCGAAATAGATATTTAAATATTATCAAGATGATTATTGACTATTTTTTTATTAATCGTATGCAGTGATTCGACTGTCTTCTAAAATTTATAACATAGCTTTAGAATTACAGTGCGAATTATCATGCCAGTGTGGCCTAATGGAGAAAGGCGCAGGACTAAGGTTTTGATGATTTAATCCAGCTGTCGGTGGTTCGATTCCCGGTCGAGACTAAAGTTTTTTTTCTTTTTTATATATCTCTCAGACACATTTTTTTAAATCTCTTTTTATACAACATATAGTCATATCTATTACTTTTTGAGGTTTTAGATTTTAGATACATCGTAAATGTGTTACTTTAATAAGTTGCATTAAGAGAGAATCGTAGAGAATATTTTTTCCAGTATAGTAGGCAGTTATTTCTTGTACTATAGCGGAAAAAATATAATACATACTTTTAAGAATTATTTTTGATTTAACAATATTATTCGTGTATTATTTAGAGGAGAACAACATATAATGCCATATAATATAGAATAATATCCTTGTCAGTAGCAAATAATATGTTGCCATTTGCAATCAATTACCGATTATACGTGTTTATTTTCGAGCCGTTAATCCCTAATTTTTCAATTCCTATGAATATGTTCCATTCATACTGATAATTAATTCGTTTGATAGGGTTAATGGATAAATCTCGACAGCTGATGGCTCTTAATTCCCCAAAAATAATTTGCAAAATAAGTTTTTACATATATATTTGATTGTATAATGTTTCTCATGTTATGATAAGCACTGTGTTAAATTTTTGATTCAATCAATTAATCCATTATGAGGTTAATTTTTGAATTTTTAATTAATTAGGTTTCCTCACATTTTTATTCCAATGTTTCTCTGTCACATTAGATTTATAGCAAAAAAACATTTAAATCCCCTCTTACATAGGTACAAACAACCACCTGTATTCATATTACATATTACGCATTTTATACAGACCCGTAACTAAGGACCCCCATCCCCGTGACCAACAATTCTTTCAAAATTATGTAGTTTTTCACCACTCACATGCATGTATTGACATTTGCCTCATCGTCTGCTGAGGAATAATCCGTCATATTTCTTTCAATTTTTGATACAAATGCTATAAAATTTAATCTTGAATTTCTTAGTTTTCAAACAAAACCTCGTGTATATTTTCGTAACTTGCTAACAGTACCCTTGGGCTACTATGTACATACTACCATTACTAGTATAATATTAAAGACTAGTATCTCACTTTTTTGAAGTATACTGATTAACCAATGTATAAATACTGAGCATCTTTTTTTTTATGTGTATTATTTCGTTTTAGAGATGGAAGAAACAAAGAAAAAAACAGAGACTTCATCGCTAATAAAGGCGTTTAATAAGAAGTTGTCAACCGATGAAATCCACTCTCTTTTGACAGACGAGGTGGATATTAATGGAGCTGATGTCATTGGAAGGACCCCTTTGATGCTTGCCGCGTGGAAAAACTACCCGACTGAAACTGTCAAAGAACTAATCGGTCGTAAAGCTGATGTAAATGCAACTGATCGACAAAAGCAAACACCGTTAACATATGCACTTAAAAATTGGCATAACATTGCTACGATAAGGTTGTTACTTGACAACGGAGCGAACGTCAATGCAACTGATGAATTCAACGTTTCACCTCTGATACTTGCAATTGTGCTGAAATGTAGTACTGATATCATCAATATGCTACTTAACTTTGGTGCTGATGTAAATACCACTGTCAAAAACGTAGGGGTTACTCCTTTGATGTTTGCGATCTCATGTGGATATGGGTCAGATGTTTTGGGTCTGCTGCTGGAGAATGCTAGGTAACTATTTATTTTAAATACTTTTTCCTCCGATTAACATTTATCAATATAAAATAACAGAACAGGTCGTGTTAGGCAAAACTGGACGAATTATTATTTATTCCGTTCAAATTCGTATTGTATATAATAATCGCCCTAAAATGAAATAACTTCAAAAATGAATAAATAAAATAATCGCATAAATAAATGTATATATATATATTTATTTTTTATTTTTTTGTAATCAAAAATACTTTTATTTTCTTCTAACTCCTAAACTTCCAACTTTACACAAAAATACTGAGTGGCTGATACAGATGTAACAAACACGTTTTCTTATTATTTCTAATGAATAACTAATTAATCAAAAGAAAATTATTTCCTCAAGTTTGTTAAGTCCTACTTGTATTACAGTTTTATCAAATGACTTAAGAAAATAGAAATATATCTTGAACAATAATGTTACAGTTCAATTTTATTTGACCATGTAGGTAAGATACTGTCACAAAGTTAACCTTTTTATGATCATTAGAATTTAGCACCTGCCACACTGAGTTGGCATACAAAGGGTTTAATTCATGTCACTGTATGGTCTGATGAAGCAGAATGATCAAGTCTAGATTTTATATACAACAACCTTCAACAAATAATAATAACTTTCACTTGATTTTTAAAAACAAATGGCAGATTCATGTCACTATGACGCATGCTATGTCCTACTTATTTTCAAAAAACAAAGCAATGTGTCCGGACAATGTGTACTCTGCTTTTAAGGCCCATTATTAAATAATTAGCTTTGGTTTACTTTACAACTTTAAACTAAAACTGTTGTTTTCCGGTTGTTTACAGTAATTACTTTTGTGTGTTCCATTTTTGTGTTTTTATTTATTTTTGTTTGCAAAAGTTTCACTTGTTTATTTGTTAGTATATTGGTCGGCAAGTTGCACCTCATGTATGATAGCACAAATAGAACTTCCTTTTTTTCTTCTTTTTCATATATTTCAAATTCTTTTTTACAATGAATGTTCAAATAATTGACAATTAATAAAATAAGACCCCGGAGGATTGAAATTAGCTACACATGTCTTCTCCCATAAACACAGTAAATCTCACTCCAGGAATTCATGAAAAGTGCTTATTAAGTGTTTATACACAGAAGAAATATGTCAATCATATTTCACCCAGTAAAGATCCTATTTTGAAAAAGATGGAGTATACACAATAAGTCCAAATTTAGTCTGTTCCAAGGTTAGATAATCATATTTATGTGTCTTGTGGATTCTGGTCAACAGCCTGGGGTAGGGAAAGAACTTTGCCTGGGCCATCTTTAATGAACTCAAAGATATGATCATGTATCCATTTTAGTCATTTCTGTTCACTGACACAGATGCTGTTAAGAAGTATTTCATGGGCAGTGTCAATCCATTTTGCCTCAGGGTCTTTAAGTAATGTCCCTTGTATCTCAGATTCTTTCATGTCATGGGATATAATCACAAAAAAGTCATCAAGATTAGCAATATACTGTACATCTATGTTCTCATCTCCACGTTGTTGATGAGCTAGAAAGGTATCATGTATGACAGTGTTACGCTTACTGTCTTCTAAACGTGACTTTAGATCATCGCTGTTAAACTGTTCCTTACTAAGCTTGCTCTCAACAACTGTTGCTTTTATTAAGGTTTCATCTGTGTTTGTAGCAATACTCTGTGTGTCTATCCTTGCACTTACTGCTCTACTTTCAGTTTGAGTAATATCAGTTTGTTTATCTGTATTCGTAGAAATATTCCGTTTTCGTATCCTTGCACTTACTGCTTTACTTTCAGTTTGAGTTATGTTTGTTTGACTACAGGAATCAGTTGACAAAATACTGTCTGTATTGCTTGATCTATTCACTGTCTGACTTTTGTATCGAGAATTATTCCTTTTGGTTGATGGACACTGTAGTTTAAGTTTTGGTTCAGTTTGTTTTTCGTCCAAACATTTTAAAAACATTACATTATTGGTGGTCTGTGTGTTTAAATCCTCTCCAGATGTCTGTTTATCACTTTGAATTGATGCAGGTTCCATACATATTGTGTGTACTCCAACATTTTCATGTGTGTTTTGATATGGTCCCTCACTGGTTACACTAACTTGTTTTGGTATGAATGGCTTTGCTTTAGACCAGTCAGCCTCACTCAGAGGTGTTGAGGTATGAGTGCCTGCTAATTTCCTATTGTTCTCTGTTTCATTATAAAACATGGTATTGTATTGCGAATCATTATCACAGCTGGATTGTTTTAAGTGAGAGTTGTTGAACTGGGTCATTCTAACTTGGTCTCTGTGTACTTGTTTTGTATTTTGCCTGACCCCTTGTCCAGTACATTCACCTGTTGTAAATCTCAAACTTATAGTTGTATACAATCCAGTGCCTTTCATTTTATAGTTGTAAAACATCTGTCCTTGCAATTTTAGTAATTCCAACAAGTTCTCCACCACTTTAGGTAACATATCCATTATATTTTGAGAAATTATATCGTAGAATAAGTCACTTTTATGCTAAAAAACTGACCAAATTTAGTAGCTCTAAAAATTGCCAACCTGTCCAGTAAGGGACCAACTCAAATTTATATATGCTTGCATTGCCATTCAATTTATTTCTGACATTCGAGTGAAAACAGAAATAAACGTTTTTAACAAAACACGATGTGTTATATTTCTGTTTGTATTCTATATTTAGCCATTGACATGTGACTTGGTTTTATTCGTTTTCCTAAAACATTTTTCTCATTTACGTAGAACTATACAAGGTGATTCGCAGGTTAACAAAGCTGACGTCAATGCCAGAGATAGCAGGGGTATGTCTCCTTTGATGTATGCCATCAACATTGCCACACAAGAGACGTGTCATCTGGATGATGTTGTCGCATTCCTTATAAAGAAAGGAGCAGGTGTGAATATTAAGGATAACGAAGGAACAACTCCACTTATGAGTACAATTAAAAGATTCGGGTCCACAACTATAGTTAAACTGTTACTTGAACACGACGCTTTAGTGGATGAAACCGACGAAAATGGAAAAACATCTTTGATGCATGCCATTGAAATGAATCGTAATATTAACATCATTAAGCTTTTGCTGCAATACAAATCAGACGTATGTACATGTGACAACAATGGAATGACACCCCTGGCTTTTGCAACAAGCATATTCAACGATGGAATACTTGGTGTTGTGAAACTACTTACAACTTATCAGAGTGAGGTCAATTCGGCAGATATCAACGGAAATACGTGTCTTATGTTGGCAATTCAAGCGACAAAGAAAGCAGACTCAAAAGGAAGAATTCATATGTTTAGCACATTGAAGCATCTCAAAGAAGTTGGGGCGGATGTTAACCTTAAAAACAAAAAGGGACAAACGGCATGGAATATTGCTAAAGATTGTGCGCTTTTGGCAGATTTGGAAAACGTGATAAATCTCCAGCCTGAACATGTGACATCCGATATCATACAAGGTACATACTTCATATTTTGAAAGTTCAATCATGAACATAAAAAAAGATTTAGCAGTTAAGATAAATCTACTTTTAACATATTGAGATTAAGATACTTAAAATACAAAGACTCCATCTGCTGTGTGTTTGTGCGTTACCATATCATGGATCTTAGAAGATGATTATTAATTCGGAAACGATGTACTCATTCATATAAAAGAACAAATTGACAAACGATATCTTGTTAAGCTTGTTGAAAAAAGGATGCTTAACCGATCTTTGCATGGTTATTGCTGAGTTTAAATCAGATCAACAATAAAACTAGGCTCCGAGTCAAGTCTTATAATTTTAAAATGTTGCTAAGTGTCTCTATTTGTGTTTTTACTCATTATTACCTCCGTATATATTTCAATTTTTAGAGGACATCTCAAAAATTAAACCTGGCCTTTTTGATGAGGAGGCTGTGGAGAAGATTTTAAGGTATGAGTTGTATAAACTTGTAACTTGTAACAGCTGTTGAAAGATGAAATGTCTAATAATGTCCCATTTTCTAATTGTATAGTTTAACTCATTAAGCATTACAAATGCTCATTTGATACACATACTACTTTTGTATATTTTCAACATTTGATTTTCCGTTTTAGTTTCACAGATGTGAAGTCATTTGGGAGAGAATATTGCTTTTCAACAAAGTCTTCCCGACTTGTGATACGACTGAAAGATACACTAGAGACAAAAACTACGAAAGAGAGCCTAAAGAAAATGTTAGGAGGAGAGTATGACTTTGAATTTGATGAATATAAGGAATCCAAAATTCAACTTGGTTGTTGGTCAGATGGCTTCATAACAGATCATATTTATTCTAGAAAAGAAGGCACAATAGGCTTATGTATCAATGTAGGGAAAGAAGGTAACTTTGATTTTTATGCCCTTACATGCCAACATGTTGTGTCAGAGAGGAAAATCAATGATGAGGTACACACTAAGTCTATCGAGGGGCAGGTAAGGGTTTTGGGTCGCCTTGTGTATTGTATTGGTTTGACTGACGAAGGTCACGTCGGTAAATATGATATCGCAATGATCAAATTATCAAAAGAGGTTGTCAAGGACCTTAAAAGTAACAACTGTATTTGTGAAATCAAATGTTTATGCAAATCAGATATGCAATTGCTCAACACGATAAATCAACAAGTACGTGTCACAAAGATTGGTCAATCAACGCAATTAACAAGTGGTACGATAGTCGGTTTTCAACATTTGAAAACTGCTAACATTACTGTTGGAAGACAAGAGCATAACAATTTCAAACTGCGAAATGTGATGCAATTCATGGGTGAAGATGTACATGGTCGTATTTCTAATTCGAAGTTCTTCGATGCAGGTGATAGTGGATCGGTAGCCATTGCTTGGAAGGATGGTAATGTTAATTGTGAAAAGGGCGTAGTTGCGATGCTATTTGGGTCTGATTCTGAAACAAGGGAATGCTATGGTTTTTGTCTGGCATGTGCCCTAGAGGAAATAAGTGAAAGCAACGGCTCACCATTTGATGTGAACCAAATACAAGTTACGTGTCAAGGTGTTCTATGTAGAGAAACTCCTATGGACTTGCAATAATGCATGAGACTTAATATATATGTTTCAGTTGCCGGTCCCTTCCCTGAAATAAGCCCAGCCTCTTTACACCTAGGAAATCAAGATACAATAGTCATAAGCACTTTAAACTTTAACCATAATGTCTGAAGGGTGGGGGTCAATTCGACCCCCTCGTATGTTCCAGAGTACTTTTTGCATTTGTTTGGATCCCGTTATTTCTTTTTCTCGGGCGACAGATTAGACACTTTTTGGCTTAAAAACCAAGGTGATTGAGGGTAGAGGGACAAAGTTATGATAGTTGGAACTTGATCCTGATAAAATTTAAATGCATAAAATATTGATTACAATCTTGTTTTTAACACTTTAGAAAATACAAAAAATCAATTAATATTGCTCCGTTTACTACTAGGGGTATCATTAATTAGTGAGAAAAGTGCGATAACTTTTTAAAGCTTGCTTTAATTGGATTGATATTTAAAAAAAATAAAGCCTAAGTTAACTCTAACATATATATCGATTTGAAAGATATTTCAGTCAAGTCGAGTAACTAAGTCAGCATTCGAAAATAAAAATCTCAAAATCATACATCTTTGATTTCCAAAATAATTTGGTGGTTATTGAGATGATAATACACATTTTAACGTATTAACCCTGGGAGCCCTAAGGTAAAAATAGTCACACGAACGATCAAAAGGGCACCCCTTTGTAAAAAATTTATTAGTAGAGCTAGGATGTTCAAACTTTCCCCACATACAGAGTGTTCCAAAAGTAACAGGACTGGTGCTGGCATTTTGTCAATTCTGCATCGAGTGTGTTCAAATTTTCACAAATTGTACTTTGACGTAGTGCAACTGAACTTGTAAAGTCTCAGAAAAAATGATAAAATGTGGGTAAAGTTATGGTTACTATAGTAACGTGACATCAGAAAACCCGGGGCAACTTTTTCATGCAAATGTAGTATCTAACATTTTATATAACTGAAGAAAGTAGCTAATTCACATATTACAATACAACATTTCGTGTTTGTTTTATTAGTTGCTTTATTTTTATGATGTTGCTATAAAACTCAAGATTCAAGTATAATTTCATAATAATAATATTTATTCAATTTCCTGAAATATCATTATGTATAACAGTCTTCACAATTCACTGTTGAGTTTTTTAAATGACCTAATTTGAAGCGAGTCATCCAACTTGATAAGGCGCCTGTCTGCAAGTCAGCGTTAAAGACCACTGCACTATAGCGGAGCTAGGTCTTGAAGTCTAAGACCATGCACCATAATCTTCTGATAATGCAATATCTAATTTTTACTTTTATATGGAGAATGACATGCTAATCAGCGCGGTAAGATAGTTAAAGATGAGAATGACCTTCTCCAAGTCCTATCCACCCTGCATGACATTTCATCAAATGGGTTCACTCATGTGTTTGAGTCATGGATACTGAGTGCTACTCTTGTACTAACCCAATAGGATCCTTTTTTTCAAAGTAGAGGATACATAGGAATATCAAATGATGTATTTAGCAACAATGTGATTCCCACCAGTTGTTCGATTCTAACTTTGATATGGGATGTACAAAATGCTTAAATTCTCTGTAACTTTCTGTGTGGAATGTTGCCCCGGGTATTTTGATGTCATGTTACCATAGCAACCATAACTCTACCCCAGTTTCATAATTTTTATCGAAACTTTGCAATTTTAGTAACAATATATATCTCTTTTATTGACTCTTTAGATGTCATGACCTGACATATTAGTCATTACAAAATGAAATTTCACAAAACTACACTACACTACACTAATATATACAATTTATACAAAAAACTTGTTATTTACATATATGTTATAATATACTTTAGGTGTGATGCATCCAAAATGTTAATCTCCAGGCAAGTTTAAGTTTTTGAATGATTTTGTAATAAAACTTCCAACTTGCTTTTGCACATATTTATCTTTTGAAGATATTAACATAATGAATGTATTTTCAGGATCATGTTGATCAACATTAATTTTGCTAGTGATGTTGTCAAACAATATTTTTCTATTTTCTCTATGTAAATGGCATTTAATCATGAAATGAACCTCATTGTCTATTTTCCCACAAAAGTTACATAATACATGAAAGTATATTATGTACAATTTTAACGACAATTGGTGCATATTCAACAAAATGCCAGCACCAGTCTTGTTACTTTTGGAACATCCTGTATACTTCATTCAATTATCTACAACTTGGTGTAATAACTTTAACAACTATGATGACGTAAGATTACGTAATTTGATTCTAAATACAACACGTATGGTAAAATATGTGCTAGCTTTTTTCTGATTTTGTCTAATTGAGCTGATGATTACATTATAATAAATTATTTAGTAAAGCTAACAAATTAGTAAAGCTAGGAAGTTCAAACTTTCCCAACATATACTTGATTCAATTATCTACAACTTGGTGTAATAACTTTAACAACTGTGATGGTGTGAGATTGCATAATTTTATTCTTAAGAAAACATGTATGGTAGAAATAGTGCTAAACAGGATCTTAAGAGGTTCTGGACAAATCATTTGATTCTGGACTTGTCATATTTTTTTTTCAACGAAATCACATCCAAGGGTTGAATTTTTATTAGCTATTTAGAGAGTGAGTCCTGCCTAGTATTAATTTCAATAAAAAAAAGTTAAAATAGAACCCTATTTGAGAGTCAATCTAATACTTACATTACATTGATAAATTAAGTCAAATCCTGAAATATTTTTAAAGTGCATTTTTTATGAAATATTATCCAGCAAGTATTTAGATGAAACGGTCTTATTTAAATACAAATCATAACATGATGATATTTTTCATGAAACATTTTTCAATGAAATTCAATTGAAGGGTCAAGATAAAACGAGCTTATTTAGGTGAAAACCCTTACATGATGATGTGTTTTCATAACTTCTTTCATAAAATTCCATCAAGGGGTGAAGATAAAATGATCGAATTTAAGTGATTTAAGGATCACGAGAATATGTTTTCTTTGATATTTTCTATGAAATCCCATCCAATGGTCAAGGTAAAATTTTGATTTTGATTTGGTATTAGGTCACGTGTTCGAAAGATCCATATAAGGCCCATAGAACCATATAGGAACGTCATTTTGAATGTCACGTGATAGATCCATATAAGGCTTTTAGAACCATGTATGGAAAGATGAGGGGAAGCCCCTGACACCTGTTTCGCAATTTTTATGCACTTCATTTTTGTACTGAAGTTTGTCGATTCAATTCGTCGTATTTCGGAATCCTGGTGACAATTTTATACTCCATTTGAGTATTTTTGACCTACTTCTTATGACGGAAATTCCCGAACCTTGTTCGGATTAATCCGGATTTTCTGACCTACTTTATCTACCGAGATTTCACGAGTTAACATTCGTCTCATTCCGGAATCCTGGTGACAATTTTATACTCCATTGGAGTATTTTTGATTTACTTTTTCTGGATTTTGCCCTACTTATTATATCTTGACAACAAGCAAATCAAAAAGTTCGACATGAACGGGTCTCGATCAACTAACCTAGAAATCCGGATCGAGAAATTCGAGAAATCGTAATTTTACTGAGTGGATTATTGAATTCAAAACGATCATCTACAAAAAATATATTTGAGAGTAGATAAATCTGTAAAACCCGTGTGCTATATCAGCCTATTTGATTCTAGAAAACACATACTAAACATGCTTTACATCAAGGGGGTACGGATGGTATGCCATTGGCCCTTTTTATTACCGTCCTAGGAGATATTTCCCGACGAATTAGGAAATTATGAAACACCTTGTTTATAAGTATAAGTATACGTATAAGTTTTTAAAAAACTTATAACGAAAATTCTCTATTATCAGAGATTAATGTTTCCAAACTGTTTTGAAACAAACTAACGTCTTTTTTCAACCTACACCTTGCTCCTTTCTGTCGTATTTAATAAAACAAAAATAGTATATCACGGAGGAATACGAACCACTCACCTGGGACTTGGTTATTCACTAGTGCCATAGGCGTTCTACTATTCTGGATACAACTGACGAGTCGTATTTAAGTGGAGACAAAAGTGAGGATCATTTTGAATTGACGCTCGGTATAAATATATAATACTTTTGTTCTTTCATATCGGTAGCTCGTTTGCCTCATAGTTAGCGTGCCTGGCTTCCATTGTCTAGGTTAGTTGATCGACCTAATACCAAATCAAAATCAAAATTTTACCTTGACCATTGGATGGGATTTCATAGAAAATATCAAAGAAAACATATTCTCGTGATCCTTAAATCACTTAAATTCGATCATTTTATCTTCACCCCTTGATGGAATTTTATGAAAGAAGTTATGAAAACACATCATCATGTAAGGGTTTTCACCTAAATTAGCTCGTTTTATCTTGACCCTTCAATTGAATTTCATTGAAAAATGTTTCATGGAAAATATCATCATGTTATGATTTGTATTTAAATAAGACCGTTTCATCTAAATACTTGCTGGATAATATTTCATAAAAAAATGCACTTTAAAAATATTTCAGGATTTGCCTTAATTTATCAATGTAATGTAAGTATTAGATTGACTCTCAAATAGGGTTCTATTTTAACTTTTTTATTGAAATTAATACTAGGCAGGACTCACTCTCTAAATAGCTAATAAAAATTCAACCCTTGGATGTGATTTCGTTGAAAAAAAATATGACAAGTCCAGAATCAAATGATATGTCCAGAACCTCTTAAGATCCTGTTGCTAGCTTTTTTTCATTTTGACCCCCCCCCCCTTAGGGCTTCTAGGGTTAATTCTGTGTACATTGAATCCATCCTCAACAAAGCTTTCGCGAAATAAGCATTCAAATGATGAAAGTACGCTAAGATGTACCGCTCTTTTTCAAATTCCTTTGGGAACAAGATATAGAATCTACTCACAGACACATGTCAACCAATGTTACATAAGTAAATATCTCATTTTACATAATTTTGTAAACGTTGTTCTTTACCGATGCCATTTTTTAAAT